AAAATTTTTCCTGTATTTTACATAGAAACCTGAAAGGTACACAACTGATTCAACTACCGAAAGGGAGAACACGTGAATTTTATTTATTGAAAGATCTGTAATAGGGTATCACCGGCTTATCGTCTAACAAACCACCAATGTCTTAGTAGGTGGTAGTTTGGAAATATGGACTGCGAATCCCAAATGTTTATACCAGTGCTTCACCTACGAAAACATGAAAGGTACCGTAAATAACGGTTTCACTCTTCTTGTAGGATTTGTCCTCAGATCAACATGTCTTATTGTTATGAGTCGACAACCAGTTCTCCAAGGACAGACTACGACAGCAGAAACCGACTCTCCCACAACTTCCTTCCATAATTGTGCGAGGAGCAGAGAAGGACGAAGCAGTGATCCAGGTAGCCGACTAACCCGGACTTTGGAGGTCTGTGGACCAAGGACAACCTGAAGGTAGTTCGGTCTCAAAGGACGACGACTCCCATCACACGGGATCCACACACACACACACACACACAACACACACACACCCACACACACACACACACAACACACACACACAACCACACCCACACACACACACACACACACACACAACCACACACCCAACACACGGACACACACACACACACACACCGCCACACACCACACACACACACACACACACACACACACACACACACACACACACCCACATAAGAAGGTGAAAGATATTAACAAATATGACAGAAGAAGGGAGAGTGAGAGTCTAGAACGAGCCACATAATATTATCACCCTACTTTAGGAGGGGTTTATGACTCACCCAGGTTCTCATTTTATGGGGTCCACTCTTTTATGTGTGCATGGTTGTGTATGTCTGAATAACTCGACACTACGACGTCTGTATCGTTTTTTCAATTCGAACACTGAAGATGTTACAGAACCCACGAAGAAATTTCTAACTCATAACTATTATACGGTGGTATGCAAACCAATCACACACACACACACCCACACCCACCCAACACACAATCTCATCTACCCCTAAACATTGGGGTAAATCTTACTCTTTTCACAGGTTTATTACTCAGTGTAAAACTATGACAGGTATTCCTTTAATTAGATGTAAACGAAAGTAAGGTCTAGTACTCCCCTGGAAACTGGAAGTCTTCTTAATGTGTACCTCTGTTACCGCACTTCATAAAATCGGTGTTGTGACCGTAAAGTAAAGTATACTTAATAACC